ATTGCCTTGAATCTGCAGGTCCCCCACCAGGTCATCCCCTGTGGCCAACACCAAGTCAAGCAAGGCATTACCCCTGGTGGGACTCCTTACCTCCTGTGTTAGGTGGAGGTCCTGGATACAGGTTAAGAACCTGCGAGAGTGGTTAGGTCTAGCTGACTGTTTGTCCAAGCATATGTCTGGGTAATTAAGGTCCCCCATGACTACCATATCTCTAGACCACACAGCCTGTGAAAGCTGCCTGGAAAATACCCAGTCTAGCTCGCCCTCCTGGTTCAGAGGCCTGTAGTAGACTCCCACCACCAGGTCCCTTTCCCCCCGCTCCGCTTGGATCCTAACTCACAGAATCTCTGCTTGTCCATCCTCTGATCCCAATTTGATTAGGGAAGATGTGTACTGCTCTCTGACATAGAAAGCAACTCCCCCCATCTTTTTTCCCTCCTCTGTCTCTCCTATACAACCTATAGCCCTCTATTCCTACCACCCAGTCATGAGTAGAGTCCCACCAGGTTTCAGTTAGTCCCACTAGATCAAAGTTATTGGTCACAAGAAAGAGTTCTAGTTCCTCCTGCTTGTTTCCCATGCTCCTGGCATTTGTATATATACGCTTAATTCCCCTGATGGCTGCCCCTGGAACCCCCTTATACTGCTGTCTAATAGGTTCTTTGATACTTACCCGGGCTGATCTTGTGGGTATCTCATGGTTCAGTGTTTCATGGATCCCTCCATCCTTGGCCTTCCCTTCCCCCGACAAACCTAGTTTAAAGCCCACTGGAGGAGATCAGCCAACCTGAAAAAGAACACACGTTTACCTTTGGGGGAGAGATGAAGCCCATCCCACCCGAGCATGTCTCTTGTTTGGAAGTATGGGTCATGGTCCAAAGCCTACCTCATAACACCTGCTCTGGAGCCACAAGTTGACCACCCTAATGCAGGTCTCATGGCATCGTCCACATCTGATCACTGGGAAAACAGATGAGAAGACCACCTGTGCCCATCTCCTTCAGCTTGGCCCCCAGAGCCTTGTAGTCCTTCATGAGGTGATTTGAACTGTTCCCGGCTGCACTGTCCCCATCCCCGCATGCTCTCCTGGACAGGCCTGCCTACCCTGACCCAGGGGTAGGCCACTCCCTAAGCTCCCCCTTATGTACTTGTAGACAGCTATCATCAGCAGTGCAGTGCCAAGCAGCAGTGCTGGGGTGCTGTCAGGCAGGCACAGATAGACTTTGGCCTGTTCAAAGGGATACACATGGCCTGCAGTGCCCTAGGGCTATCTGTGGTGTGTGCTCCAGGGCACAGAATGTCCTCAGGCTTTTATAGCTGAGAGAGCAAAAACAAATTTGCTCCCAGGTCGCATCTACACATGCACTACTGTGCAGTAACTAATCGCATTTAGACATGCACTAACCTGTGCTAATGTGCAGTAACAAATCTCATGTGTTGCACCCTGTTTGTTAGTTCTCAGATGCACTTTAAGTTTGGGTGATCAGTTTTCAAAGGTAGCAACTTTTCAGGGTCTGTATTAGTCCATGATAGCATAGACCACAACGAGTTTTATGTTTCAAAAGTGAGTGAATATTTGAATTATTTTTTTTCTTCTCCTTTTAAAGTTAAAATCAATATAGAAAAAAGCCACAAAGTCACAGTTAGTAGCACTCCAAAAGGGACTGCCATGATATAACTTTCCAGAAAATAACAGCGCCTGTTCCTCTAGAACACAATATATTGATATGCAGTGTTGAAATATATGGTCATAATGGTCTAACAATAGCCACTTTTCAATCCAAGTGCAAAGCATGCTGCTTTGTCCTGCCTGTACCAACAAACGTGTGTAGTGTATAATAAATCAATAAATATGAAATCACATGCAGTGTTCCTCTAAGAAGGATGAGGATGTGAGGCCTGCTGGCTACAGCACTTAGTGAATGATTTGGTAGAACACTTACATGCATGCTGGATTTTCTGTTGAATTAGAGCTCAAGATACCAGTAATCTGGGAACCTAAGCAGATTCCCAGGGTCCAAGCAAGTCCACTGGGCTTTGCCCGCTCCAAGAGCCACAATGTAAACCTGAGCAAAAATGTGTAACCTTAACACCGGAGAAGGAAAAAGAGAACTATGTCCCACTGTCCTTCATTATGCCAGATGAGTCTGCTATGGGGAAATGCATCCTGGAGGTATGATCAGTCAGCCTTGCTTGCACAGTCACAGAGGTTTGCAGAAAGGGAACAAGCCAGTGCAAGGAGGTCCATATGCCTGGATAATCCTGAGTGTTTGTGCTGTCGGTGATGTAAACTCTTCCAAAAGGTTGGTGTCATTGATATGTCGTGTTGGACCAGGGGGCTAGTTGTGTTGCATGAAGCATCTCAAAGGACTTGTTGGATTGCAATGCGGCCAAACCAGCAGAAAGCCAAGGTGCCATGTTGGCTGAGTCCTTTAAACTACCAGAGTTAGACATCCAATTTCAACAGCAGTCCATGCATTTCAGGAGTGTAATCAATATAGGGTACATCTATACCAGAGCCAAAGCGGTTGCCAGCTGGCTTGGGTACAATAACAGTATAGCTGTAGCAACATGAACCGCAGTTTACATATTTACCCTACTTCTCAGCCAGGGCTCGCAGCCCAGACTGTTCTTTGTTACTGCTGGTACCCACGGCAGCTAGTTTAAAGCTAGCTTTGATACAGCTGATCTATGCTGCAGCCCCAGCAGTGACTGCAGAATAGTCACAACCTTAGACTCCCATGAAAACCTTAGCCTTAAATCCCAGTTAATCCCTTCAAATAGGATTTAAGTAGTGTTGGGGCCTCATGCTGACTGCCTACTCAATGGTGAATTTGAATGCTGACAGTAATGTACTGGAGGAATGGTAGGCTGGAAGCATCTTTCATTTTCCTATAAAACCTCTGATTAGCGGGAAGGTTTCAAGGGATACAGAAGATGGGGGATAACGAGCACATTTGAGCAAAGTGATACAATCCATACAAGATTGCTGTGGCAAAGAAAAAAAACTCCACTGTAAATGACAGCCTCCAGGTCAAGTTGCCTAGTTGGTTTTAAAGTGCAGGCTGCATGTTACCATCCATCAAAAGTGATTTATCTGTAATTAAGCCATCTTCATATCTTGAGGTCTCCCCTCTCTCTCAAGCACTAATGGCATTAATACATTTACTAATAATAAATATATTAAGTTTTGAGTACTGGATAAAACTACTGAGATGTAACACCTCATTTATAACGGTGGTCCCTAAGGAGGCTGTCAAATTATAAATACCCATCTCAGATCTAATGTCAGATTACACATGGCACTTTGGGAAGCCTGGCACAGTATGTGAAGAAAACAATGTTCCTGAACAACAACTTAGCACTTGATACACCCTGAAGATGGAGAGAAAACAGATCAGCTGATTATCAAAACATAATGCTCTGGAAAAGGGCCTTTTTTTCTTTTTAACCAACTATGATGGATTAGTGATATTTTAAAGCTTAATTAGGGGGAAGATAAAAGTAAGGATAATTTATCTTGGGTGTCTCTTTAATGTGCTGATGGGCTGGTTGGTTTTGGTGTTTTAATTACTTATTCATAATTTGCAGAGAGCTTGCAAACCCTCTTCTGAAAACAGATGGTGGCCAAAAAAGAGACTGAGCATGCTGGAGGTAAACAAGTGTAATGTGAATGTAATGCATGTAACAGCAGGAGGAACCAGGGACAGGCTGCAGAGCTATTCTGACTGTTAATTTGGACTGCAATCCCAGAAACCCCCAGGGACTTGGGGAGGCAAGGGGAAAAGGAAGAGGAAACTTTGAGGCTGGAGTAAGGGGAAGAGAGAGCAGCGTGCACATGGAGCCTGGTCACCCCACACAGAGGAGCACACAGCGGAGCTGGAGATCTCCCTGGCTCGATCAGCCGGACTGTGGGCTGAAGGGAGCTGGACTCAGACTTGGGGGCTGCTGCAGGCTGCTGTTCGAGCACTCCAGGGACTGAAGGGTGGTTTGAGGACACTTCCAGAGGTTGGGGGTGAGGGAAGCTAAGGCGCTGAGTATATTTATGTGTTGATGTTTCTTTACCTTTTACCTGCTCCCTCCTTTGGTCCGTTGACTTGTGACCCTAACCCCTATGATTTTCTACATAAAAGTGGGAACTCCCTCTTCTTGTGCCAGCTTCTTGGACCGCAGGATTGGCACACAATGGTTTCCCACATGGAATGCCTTGTTTCACAATTTTTCAACATAAAAAAAATCCAATAAAATACATTTGTTTGACATGCAGAGACACTGAAAGCTGAATACTGAGCTGTCAGTAGTTAATGATTTTGATCTAACTTCATTTGCATCTGTCCTTCAACTTGTTCAAACAACAAGCTCATTCTTTGCCTCCAGCACTGTTGGGTTTTTTCTTTTTTCTTTTTTTTCCAATTCATGATATTTTGCTTAATGAATATAATTTGAATTCTGAGAGCTGGCTAGGAAATATTAAAGGATTGCTCAAACAGCTTTTCTCCTAAGCTTGTTCTGCAGTTGTGTAATATTTTATCTGGATACGGCTTGCAAACAACATAGGTTCACAAGTTTCCATCAGAAAAAGGAATTCTTTTCTTCAAACAGAAATGGAGACAGACACCTTGCTTCCAGTCCAGAGTGAAATATTCTTCTCCTGTCATCAGATATACAGTGTGTATAATGGTCCATCATGTAAAGATCACACAATGCAGATGTGGCATTCAGTTTGTTACATGTGTCTCATTTGTTCATCTGCTATGTCTCCTTCAATCTTCATTTTTGTGTGAGTGGCAAGAGAGTTCTCTGAAGACGAAAGCAGCCAACTCCCAAAGTTTCTGATTCAAATAATTGACTTCTATATTGGTTAGTTATTGTTTTTAACCTTCAGACAGTTGCCAGATGCATTCTGAGGAAAAAATACAACTAATTTCTCAACATGAACACTGGGAAAGATCTTCAGGCAGTATACATCAGCACAGCACCAATAACTTCAGCTGAGTCTTTCCCAAATGAACTGGACACAGTGCAAGAAGTATAATGACATTTTTTACTCAGGTTCTGGCAAGGACAGAGAAGTGCAAAAGCAGTGCAAGGAAGCAAGCATGAAATCCCTACTTGAAATCACTAAGGGATGTGACCTTGTGGGCTGGCAAGGAGCAGAATTCAAATACTAAAGCAGCCAGTTGCCCCTGTGGTACGATAAACAGTCCAAGCTGAAAAGAGAGCCAAAATCACTGAAACCTTTGCAACCAAGGGAGGGAATGTGATACTGATCTCTGTTTGCAGTAAAATCAGCATGTACACTGTCCTGTAGAAAAGAGGAAGTGGGATAATCTGAATCCTTGAGAGAAAAGGGTATACAAGCACTGGTGATGCAGATGCAAACCCAACCCTTGGAGGTTAGCATGCAATCTAGCTGGCTCATATCAAAAGGAAAGGAGATTTGGGCAACTAGGCCCTAATGGAAACCCAAGCTGGGGTTTTTTTCCTCCTTCTTCAAGTTCATCTGCATTCTAATAGCACAGTGTGCTCTTCTCCTGTTTGTCAGGGAGCTGTCCCAAGAATACACGGTGAGAGTCAATTACTGGTGGCAGCAGTGCCAGGGACTTCTGGCACCGTGGACAGCTATCCCTTCCCATATACTCATGCAGTATCTGTACTGAAGAAAGCCAGTGCCAAGCACGTCATTGCACTCTCCCCGCAGAAGCCAGCTGGCACTGTTGGGCCCAAGGAATTCACAAAAGATTACACTCATTTCATGTTAGCTGTGACTTGAGTCACTATTGCAGCCCAGCAGCAGTGGCTCAGACCAAGACTTTTCCTTTAAGGGGATGCTGGGGTCAGCCAAGTGTTGCCTTCTGGGCTGAAAGCCAGGGTTCACTATAAAAGTTCAGGAGCCAAGTAATGTGCCACTGTGTTTGGAGCCAGAGAAGGACCACCCCTGACCAAGGGGCCAAATTCTGTGCGAGTTCCTTGTCACCATATGAGTC